AACAGTTATGCATTCAGTGGCGTCTGCAAGGAAATATAATCTAAACATCAACCATTAGCCAGGTTGGTTTCAGCGTCTTCTAACTGATTGAGTTCAGGGGAAACGGTGACATGACGTCTGGACGGGTTTCTCTTTGCTGAAGACGTCCATCCTTTAGTCAGAACCAGCCGAAGACAGAATCCGTCCATCTGAGACTCTCCACAAAGAGATAAGACGAGGCATGGCCACGCCAGACCAAGTTATTAGCTCCTCTTAGAGCTAAAAAAGAGACTGAAAACAGCCGCAGATGGAAAACTGAGAAATGGAGAAGGCGAAGAGGCAGAAAAAGAGCCTGATGTGGCGAAGGAGGAAAAAAAGGTGAAGACGAGGAGGAATGAGAGCGATTTAGGATGACAAGCACATTCAACTGGAGAGAGGAGAGAGAGAGGGGAGGGAGGAGGAGGGAGAGAATGGGAAATTAATGGAGGGGAGAGATAAGAGAGGGAGGAAGGCTTGGAGGGGGATGGAATAGAAGTGGGGAGGAGATATAAGAGGAGACAGTGAAAAAGGAGGAGGAGGAGGAGGAGGGGAAGATGGAGATGGAAAAACGAGGAGGGAGGAAGGATGCACGAGTGGAGAGATGGAAGGAGGAATGAAGTAATAAAGGAAGGAGGGGAGGAAGGAGGAGAGGATGGAGGAGGGGAGGAAGAGGGATGCATGAGTGGAGAGATGGAAGGAGGAATGAAGTAATAAAGGAAGGAGAGGAGGAAGGAGGAGAGGATGGAGGAGGGGAGGAAGAGGAATGCATGAATGGAAAAATGGAAGGAGCGATGAAGTAATAAAGGAAGGAGGGGAGGAGGGAAGAGAGGAAGGTGGAGGAGAGGGTGCAGGAGGGGAGGATGAGGAGAGGAGGATGGAGGGGAGGAGGATGGAGGAGAGGAGTGAGGAAGGGCTTCATGAGTGGAGAGATGGAAGGAGGAATGAAATAGTAAAGGAAGGAGAGGAGGAAGGTGGAGGAGAGGAGGATGGAGGAGAGGAGGATGAATGAAGGAAGGAGAGGAGGATGGAGGAGAGGGAGATAAAGGTAAGGAGGAAGGAAGGATGCATGAGTGGAGAGATGGAAGGAGGAATGAAATAGTAAAGGAGGGAGGGGAGGGAAGAGAGGAGGGTGGAGGAGAGAAGAAGAGGATGGAGGAGAGAAGGATGGAGGAGAGGCGGATGGAGGAGAGGGGGATGCAGGAGAGGAGGGAGGAGGAGGGAAGAAGAGGATGGAGGAGAGGACGAAGGAGGAAAGGAAGATAAAGGAAAGGAGGGAGGAAGCATCCATGAGTGGAGAGATGGAAGGAGGGAGGAAGTAATAAAGGAAGGAGAGGAGGAGGATGAAGGAAGAAGTGTAGGGAGGAGAGAGGAGAGGAGGAAGGAGAGGAGGATGAAGGAGAGGAAGATAAAGGAAGGAGAGGAGGATGAAGGAGAGGAAGATAAAGGAAGAGGAGGATGGAGTAGAGGTGGTGGAAGGAGGAGAGGATGGAGGAGAGGAAGGAGGAGGTGAGGAACCAGAGAAGGAAAGAGGGCGTGGAGCGTCCAGTGATGTGTTCCAGTGATTCTGCTGTAATGTCTTCGTCCAGCTGTTCTCTAGTGGACACTGGAGGAGCCACAGTGCCTCCTGCTGGCCGAGCAGACGAACTGCAACCAGCTGATCTGTAGACGGCACTGAGGAGGACGGAGGGAGGAGGACTGAGGGAGGAGGATGGAGGAGGACGTAAACCTCCAGAAAACAGCAGGACTCCGTCTCAGGTAAAACAAACTAGAAGTGAGCTCACACGGTGAGTCAGACTCTTTACTCAGATGTGAGTTCTGAATATTTTGTGCAGCATCTTTCATTCTACTGATACTAGAATACTGTAGAAGATAATTAATATTAATGCTTCTCAGTGTTTCTGTTCACGACAGACTCTGTGATTCCTGTTGTTTCTGGAACTTTACACTTTGGTTTGTTTTATGTTTTTGCACAACCTTCCTGAAACATTCCTCTTAAACCATTTACATCCGACCTGTTTTGTTGCTTCAGATTAATAATAAAAACGTTTATTTGTGATGAACTAATATGTTTTACAGCCATTTTGATACAATCTACATGAATACGGTTGATGTGCAGATTCCTCCTCGTCTGAATCTGCACATATGAAAGATTCTCCATAACGTCAGCACCTTTCACTTCTGATCTTATTCAGGATTTACTATAACACTGATTTGTCTGATATATTTACAGCATAGAATACAGATATTTATAAAGATATTTGTGAAATTTTAGCTTCATACATCAAAAACTTCCAGAGAAGTCGCCCGTCGACCCACTTTCAAGGATGAAACATTCCATCTTTGAGCTCATTTGAACAAAAAACGCTCATACAGACGTCAACGAGGGATATTTTTTTAGCTAAATGTAGTTTCTAACACAAAACTAAACACACAGAACACTCTTAAGATGAAGCATTTGGTTATTTTGGTCTCCATCAACCAGGACGTCTGCTCGTCCCATGCAGGTCCTCCACCTGCTGCTTCCTCTCATCCGGTCAGACGGAGTGAATCGACTCCAGGCTGACGATGGAGGTGGACGTGTTCCCCTCCAGCAGGATGTTTGTTCAGACGGCGAGTGTTTCTGACTGAGACCGATCCGGCTGCTGTTTCCTGGACGTTGCTCTGACGTTTGCCGTGAACGTCTCTGCCTTTCTTCATCCTCCTCCTCCTCCTCCTCCTTCTCCTCCAGCTCCTTCATGCTTCATTACTCCTCATCTCTGGTCGTCTGCCTCTCATCCTCCTCTACCTGCAGCTGATTACTGCCGCTACCCAGCATGCACCAGTCGTCTGCCCTCATTGACTCGGCCTCGGCCTGCAGAGGATTCGCCTGCTTCAGGGGTTTTTATCAGAGAAGAAGAAGAAGCGATGGTTCCACGTGATGGACGTGTTGGTTTGATGTAGAACGTGCCATCGACCGAGTAAACTAAAGTATATTCATATAAAGTAAGTAAGCAGAAGATGCTGCGGTGTCGGTTTTAAACGGGAATGAACCTTTAAGAAAATGATGTTCGGGTGGAATAAACCAAAAAAACTACAAATATTTAAACAGGAAATAGTATTTTGAGAGAATGTACCTTTAAAATTATAACTAATTTGTTAGAAAGTAGTATTTGTTTATGGACTAAGCCCTTAAAGCAGCGTTTTAGTTTGAATAAACCTTTAAATCAATAACTAATTTGTGATAAAGTACTATCTTGGATTGAAATAAACATTTAAAACTATACAAACATGGACAGAAAGTTGTATTTTTGTTGAAATAAACCTTTAAAATCAAACTTATTTGCCAGAAAAGACAATTTTGGTCAGAAAAAAAACCTTTAAAAACCTAATGTGCTTGTACAGGAAGCTGGTTATGAGTACTTAGTCCTATTTTGAGTTGAATAAACCTTTAAAACGATAACTTGTAAAAACATCCTATTTCGTATGGAGCAAACATGTGAGTGGACGGATATAACACAAGATATCTGGAGAACTTAGAACGTCCTGCTGTGTGTTTGGGGGTCATAGATGGACCTCTGAAGTCTTGTTTAGTGATAAATTATTCTTGTAGCCACCTGTTTATTCTAAAGGGGAGCTAGTTTTTCTAGCTTACTGGTAAATATATAACATATATTTACAGTTTTGAGACGAATAAACCTTTAAAACTATCAACATCTGTGCAGAAAATTGTATTTTAGTTGGAACAAACCTTTAAAATCATTGTTAATTTGTTAGAAAGTCCTATTTTGGATGAATTAACTTTTTAAAACTATAATTACTTGGATGTAAAAGTATTATTTTGGATGGAATAAACCTTTAAAACCACAACTTATATATAAGAAAGCAGCGTTTTGGATGGAATAAATGTTTAAGCTACAAATACTTGGACAGAAAGTAGGAAGAAAGGCAGTGACTTTACACTTTTTGAAAGTTTTAGCAGCTGGCTGCAGATAGCTACAGCGTTAGTGATTATCCCTGAGGTGTGACATCTGGAGTTTTTAGAACAATCTGCTGCACTTGGGTCCTGCAATGGAGCCAATGGGGGAAATTCCTAAACCCTGCATTTTCTCTAACAGCCAGCAGGGGGCGACTCTTCTGGCTGCAAAAAGAAGTCCAATTCAAGAGAAGTTTATACAAAAACGACGCTTCTTCTCACTGATTTGTCGCCTCAAAACACATTTTTCCAATGAATTTATGAACTCACCAGCTGGTTTAAAGAGTTTTAGATACAGTATCGTGTTCATTTAGTCAATTTGCACATTTTGTGCAGTTGTTTTATTTATTTTATTTTATTCACTTATTTTTATTCTTAAGTTTTTAAATAGTATTTAACTTTAGCCCTTTTTCTGTTGTGATTGGTGTTTTTTCTTGCTGCTGCTGTACCACAGTAATTTCCCAGACTGGGATAAATAAAGTATTTTTCTATTCTATTCAATTATGGTGCCATTTAGAGTAAAACAGACAACAAAACTAGACATGTTTAAGGGGCGGTGCTGCCTCGTGATTGACAGGTCAGTACTGTTTCGTCCTGTGTAGTCAGACAGACCGAGGTCTTACGGCTAGATCTGGTCTCAACAGGTTCAGAACAGTAGCTAACAAACCAACGGCTGACATCACAGCTGCTACATCCCGCTTCCTTTATCCAGTTTTTTGACTCTGAGTTCGTCGCACCACAGAAAACCGTCGAGTCAAAGCTGAACCATCATGGCGTCTAAGTCTGGCAGCAGCTGCTTCAGACTGTAACTGGTTCAGGGATTCATCTGAAAGGTGGCAGTAGAGTCTAGAACACCATTCGTGTTGAGCACCGATCGGTTTTCTTGCGAACAGTTTGCGTCGTCACAAATTTCGGTCCCTTTTCTCTGCTTGGGGCCACAAATGGAAAATAGCGGACGTGTCGAAAAGCTAGAACATCCTGTAAAGAGACCAGAAACCAGCAGCGTCGGTTTTGCAGCCGCCGTCAGCTACAGCGTCACAGGAAAATCCTTGAACGAACTGAAAGAGCGTTTTGTTGAATCGTATTTTCATTTGAAAGGTAAAAAATGTGGCGATCAGTGGGGAACAAAGACGGCAGCGCGTCGGCTGCGTCTACAGGAAGAAGCATTTGTTCCAATTAACATTCTTAAAAATCTTCACGGACGTTCAAAGGTTGCAGTTTATGCAGCTTCGAGTAGGAAACGTCGAATGAATCGCCTCTGAAGACGTTCTCATCTACAGAGAAAGACGTCAGAGGCTAAAAATAAATACTTTGATACCGAAGAAAACTTAGAAAGCTCTGGATGTTCAGGATTTTCTGCTTTTCAGTGATTGTCAGTCAGTTTGTTTGCAGTAAAACATCAACGGTGACGTCACACCGGATCTAAAAATATGTTTCTGATTAAATCATAAGAACTCAGAGAAGAAGAAGAAGAAGCTCTAATTACAACGTGGAGGGTTTTAAAGAGCCTTAATTAGCTTCTTGAGCTGATTTGTCTCTTTCACCTCAGAATACAAAACGTTCTAAATGAACCGTCGGAGCTGATGTTTGTCCAACGTTCGCTTGAGTTTAACAGGAAACTGAAACAAAGACAGTAAAGTGTCCCAAAATGCCTCGATTATCTTGTGAGCAGAAAAACCACATTCTTTAAAAACACCCCAAAACAACCCTAACCCTAACCCTAACCCAAAAAAAACTATTTCAATTTCTGCTCGAGCAGCCCAGATTTTTTACAGCATAAAATATGAATATTTATAAAGATGTTTGTGACGTTTTAGCTTCATATATTAAATACTTTTTGACATAATACAGTCGTCTTCAGATATATTCATACCCTCCCATTAAAGAAGGAAAAAACACTGAAATAAGGTGAAATTGACAAAAGTAATAATAAATAAAAATTTTAAGAAAATCATGACGTTGTTTTTGAATTATGGTTCAACAGAATTATGAAAAAACAAAAAACAAAAAAACAAAAAAAGCATGATGGGACCTGTAAACTAATATTTAGTTGGACAACAGTTTTTAATTTTTTTTTATTTTTATTCTTTTCAACCACAATTCAAAAGCAATGTCTTATTTCATTAAATTGTAATTTAGCAAATTTTTATTTATTATTACTTTTTTCAGTTTCTAGTTATTTCAGTGACTTTTGTGAGTTTTGCTTTTTCTTTAATGAAAGGAAATGAATGAATGAGGACACCTGTATGTTTTTATTGTCACCCATCGACCCACTTTCAGCAGGTTTTTTCAGAAATTTGATTCAGTTTGAACAACGACATCTGAGGAACTATTAAAGACAAAAACCTGAACATCTCTTTTTATGTCAGCTTAGACTATTGATGTGTGGGTTGTAGCTCCACGGCTGAAGCTGTTGGCCGAATGGATCGAGACACTGGAGAAGCAGAAGCACAGCTCAGCGTTCATCCAGTGTCTGAAAACTGATGAATTTAATAACAAAGATCAGAAAATGTCACTGGTTGACTTCTGCGTTGTGAATATTTTGGTTAATTCGTGCTCAAAATGGGATTTTTCATGATGGTTGCATTTCATTCTTCCATATTTCAGCTCCTCCATAACCAGAGATTATTTGATCTATTGTCCAATAATACAGATTCTGAATCAGTGACATGATGAGAAAAAACAGAGAAAGTTTCAGGTTTTTATCTTTAATAGTTCCTCACATGTTGTTGTTCAAACAGACTAAAAGTTCAACGTAAGATAAAAGCTGCTCAAAGTGGGTCGACGGGCGACTTTTCATAAAATTATCTCATAAAGTTTTTGATACTTGAAGCTAAATTTCACAGAAATCTTTATAAATATTAATAGTGTGATATAATATAAGGATGATTTAAGGTGGGATATGTGTCCGGACCCACCTGATGTGCTCGTCGGTCACGGTGAAGGCCTTGCACAGCGGCTGGGACGTGTTCAGCCAGATGGCCGGGTTCTTCTCGGCGGCCACAGACGTCTGTCCGGTGATCGGCGCCGAGCTCATGTGCAGGGCGCTGGCGATGGCCGACAGCAGGGTGTCGTCGCTGGAGTCCGGGCCCACGCCTGCGGAACCAGAACCAGAACCAGAGGTGAGAAATCAGGGCTATCAGCGGCCCAGAGAGCGTTTGAGGATGGTGCCGGACGGAGACGTACTCTGCAGGCCTTTGGGCAGGTCCATGGAGCGGAGAACCTGCTCTGTGACGTCCGACGACCGCAGACCTTTCAGCCGCTTCTCCCAGAACAGCTGCAGACAGACAGAGTTCACTCAGGTCAGCTTCCTGTTCTCTGTCTGATCCGAAAGCAGGGAACTGAGAAGCTTCTGCTCCTTCACAATAAAAGCACTCCGATGACAAACCATCGGAGGGCTTTTATGGTGAAACAACACAGGAAGTGGTGATTATTCCACCTCAAATCCTCAAATGTTCAGTAAAATCTCACTTCAATCATCTGTGATTTGCCTGAAACTCATATTATCATGAATTATTAATATTTTTAAAGATATCTGTGAAACTTTAGCTTCACATTTCAAAACCTTTTCTCAGATAATTTTATGAGAAGTTGCTCGTCGACCCACTTTCAGCAGGTTTGTTCTCACATTTACATCTGATTCTGTTTGAACAACAACATCTGAGGAACTCTCAAAGATAAAAACCTGAAATTTCCACTGTTGAGGTTAAACAACAACCACAGAAAATCCGAGCTGCCTGTTGGGCGTCACATGAGGGTTATTGAATCTCAAATCATCACATTTTTTAGAACACTTTCTGCTTGATTATCTCTGATGTGCCTGAAATTTTAGTCAAGATATTTATAAAGATATTTGTGAGATTTTAGATTCATAAATCAAACATTTTCTGAGATAATTTGTTTTTTAGAAACGCCCGTCGACCAACTTTCAGCAGGTTTTGAATGAGAAAACCTGAAACTTTCTCTGTTGTTTCTCATCATGTCACTGATTCAGAATCTGTGATATTGGACAGTAGATCAATAATATCTGATTATGGGTGATCAGTTTGTGATAAACTAATTAATCGCTACATCAGTTGTGTTTTAATTAAAGTCAGTGACTGATCTTTCTAACATTTACGACACGATTACACACTCTATTACATATAATACGGTAATGAAACAGACACAGATGAAGAGGTCCGTCTCTCTCCTGGTCCCTCAGCTCCCTCTAGTGGCTGCTGTCACCGTGACAACCCCTCGTCCCCCCCCGGCCCTCGGGCGTCACCATGGCGACACCGGATGCGTTTGTCTTTACGTTCGAGCGACTCACCTGTCTGGGCTGCTCGCTCGCTCTCTGCAGGTCTGCCTTCACCTTGTTGCCGGGGTGATTCGTCACCTTGGTAACGGGCTGCTTGAAGATGGACGCCGTCTGTCGGATGGGCAGCGCCGTGTTCAGGTCCGGTTTGCCTCCCTGGACGAGACGGGAGACAAGGTTCTGTTGCTGTGTTTTGGTTTCCTTCCTCCCTGGCTCCTCCCTTTCTTCCTACCTTCCTTCCTTCCCTCCCACCCTTCTGTCCTTCCTTCCCTCCTCACAACCTTCCTTCCTTCCTTCCTTCCTGGCCTGCCTCACCTCCCTACAGGTGACAGACGGCAGCGGGTGCATTTAAAGGGTTAAACTCTGAGCCGAGAGAACAACAGGAAGTGAGTCTGAGCTCCAAAGTAATGATGTGTGAAGAGCAGCGGCGGCGGCGGCGGCAGCGAGTCGCAAAGTGTGTCAACACAACAACACACAACAACACACAACAACACACAGCAACACACAACAACACACAACAACACACAACAACACACAGCTGCGTTGCCTCTGCCTTACTGAAGCATGGAGCTGCTGCTCACACTGAACCCTGAGCTGAGGAACTCTGGGTTTCACTGACAACAGAACGACTCACATTCACTTATTTAATAAAATAAAACTGCTTTAAACTGCAGGTGCTTCTCAAACCATCAGTGCTCTTTGGTCTAAATGTTAAATGTGTCTGACGTCTGAGGGTCGACCAGGTCACAGCAGACCCACTGTGCAGGTGACGGTGGTTAACCTTGTGCTTGAAGCTGCTCTCTCTGTTACTATGATTACATCCAGACTCAGGCGTGTGGTTCTAATGCTCTACTGTCACAGCAGTGTGGCGGTGCAGCACCTGGTTTACAGGTTTACTGAGCCTATAAAAAGCAACACGCTTTCTCCTTTAATTGCTGTTCAGCACTGAGTCATGGTGAATTTAATGTGGTCTGTTTGACAGGAAGTCACAAAA